ATATATGAGCTGGAGTTCTACTATAAAGCAAAAATATGAACACTGCAGGCAATACATGTATATATTTATAGCACACCTTATACTGTTAAGCACACACATTGGATATGTATGTGCTTGGGAAACACTAGAGTTATTCCATGCTACCCTTGTAACTATGGTATGTGCCTCTTCTTGTTTGAAGCATGCGATCCTTCCTCATATGTGATCTTAGAGAACTATGGGGTCAGAGGTTGAAGATTTCCCTCATTTATAGTTATTGCGCTTTCTTTGTAGGCCCCATTATTATTATTATTATTATTATTATTATTAAGTGCCAGATTTTTGAACAGCTCTTTGTTAAATAGTCAGTTTGCACTTAAATGCAAGCACAGAAGTCACAACTATGTCAGTTGTTCATGTGAGAGATTGAACTTGCATAGACAATGATTTTAAAGATGACAGAACAAAGTACTTAAAGGTATTATAAAAACTAAAATACTGGCTCATCTAAAGCCCAGGCTATGCAGCAATTAACACCATGATAATTTGTTTATTTTCTAAGAATCTATTTTTGCTGTTTGAAAATAGTATAGTATTTTATGGGCTCATGTGACAGCAAAAGTAAAATTACTTATTTGACCATGACTTCATAAAACCATTTTAGTGGGCCATATATTTGGCTAGTTTCACAGTAATTTGTTAAGTGTGATGTTAGTTTAAAAACTCCTGCTTTGTGTTCCATCTCCAAATAATTGCCCCTCTTAAATGATAAAATTGTGCATTGCATGTGTAACCATGGCTTCTTCTATGTCTTGGATACTCTAACAGTAAGATCTGTCAGCTATTATTCCTGACTCCGTTCCTGTCACCAGGAAAGGTTTCGGGTTCCCACTTAACTTTTGTATGTTCCACCAAATTTTCATACCATTCAAACCCATTCAGTGATATGACAATGAGAGATTTTGTCAAGCACAAACTTGTGCTTATGGTGGTATTAAAGGGAACAGTTGAAACGTTTGTTCCTGTCATGACTGCTGCAAAAAGCATATCATATTTTCTTCAACTTGTGACAGGAAAAGGGAAATACCTATATGACTTCCTAAAAGAACACTTTGGTAGGCTATAACTTTTTAGCCTTTTTTTTTTCTACACATGGTTTAAAATTAAGTGTGACACCAGGCTAAAGCTACTACTTTGTGTCTGCCCAAAATGATTGCCCATCTTAAATGGTAAAAATTTGGTGAATAATTGGTACTTCTTAAAGTATGTCTAACAGTTTTCTCCCAAAGCTACATGCTTTAGCCACAGTGTCCCTGCAAATGATTTAGCAATTTAACAAATATTATTTGTTTATGGCAAGATATTAGTTTAAGTAATTTCCTTTAGGTAAGTTTAAGTAAGATCCTGATATGTAAAACTGTAAATGTAAAATAGATAATGCTTTCATTGCTAAAGTGGATCATGTGCCCCAGGGAGTATTTATGTTGGCTAAAAAAAACAAAACAAAAAAAAACATATGTGCAGCGGCCCCTTTTAAACAGACTCCCAGCGGCTTTGGTGCCTTGAACTCTGTTTATATTTTTAAAGTCGGCTGCTGGCTTAACAATGGAAGTGATTCCGGCGGCTCTGGTGCCAGATCACTTCCTGTGGCCAGTACAGTGCCTGCCCACCCCCACCTTGTTTCGCAGGCTCTGGACTGGCATCTTAGGTTTTGGCAGGAAGCTGGGGAGGAGAGCAGCGAACGTCCATTCGCCCTTCTCCTCCCTGCTCTATGGGACCGTGAGCGACGTTGATTGCATCAATTCTGGTCCCGTAACTGTCATTGCTCGGCTTCTGAAGGCGAGCGATAAGCTATTGAAGTGCGATCTGCACTCCAATAGCTTATTTAGAAAATGTGGCACTAGGGGTCTTTTGGACCCCGATGAGACTTGTTAAAAACTGTATGCAGCAAATCTAAGAGCTGTGGAGAGGCAATGTTTAAACGGCGGGTTATTTCATAGCCTCTCTACTTTAACCCTGCCAACAACAAAGCTGGTGAAAGTTGGGCTTTCCCCCCATGCCCAGCTTCACTGGGGCAGCAGTGTTAATGATTATGCCCCCTTTCCTTGGATTCATTGAAGGTATGCATTGTGCACCTCCCCTCCCCCCAAACCCCAGCATAAAATATTTAATGGCAAGTGCCTTACCCAGATTAAGTAAAGGTATGCATTGTGCAGGAATGTGCTTAACCCAATTGTCTATGAATACTGACTTCTGTGTCCCTTAATGAGCAAGAAAGAAAAGACCTTTCTAATCTAGAGAAGGGAAACAAGTGGTCCTTCTCTAAACCAATCCAAAGGCATCTGATTATTTCTACAAAACCAAAGACACCAAGAATAATTTGTTGTCTATGCCCATGCCACTTAATTATCGTTGGAATTACCATAGACCGCTATGACATTCAGAATGATCATACACAGCTAATTTTTCCTCTTAATTCATGAGCATGTGTATCTTCTAGTATAGTCCAGCTCGCATAAACAACAATAATAAATGCTTTATTTTAATTCAGTTAATTTAATTTTAATAGTAAAAATAAGTGTATTTTTTTCTTCTGAAATCATATTGTTGAGTTATGTGTGAGAATAAATTCTTTATAATGATTCTAATGATACACACTGCAAAAACATAACCATTGGTTTTATTTTCATAAATATTGTATACTGTGCATAGTTGTGTAAACGGTCTGTTTTGTTAAAGAGAGATTCTCATAATTTATTTCCTCTATTATAGGAGGTACAGAAAGTTGTAAATGTGGTCACCACTACAGTAACTGATGGGGAATACAAACCAACTGATGAAAAGGATGCAATTGCAATTGTTGAGGTGGGCTGGATGACATCTGTAAAAGACTGGGCTGGTGTGATGATCTCAGCTCAGACCTTAACAGGTCGAGTGCTGGTAAGTGTCCTTCATTTGATTTTAATCCTCCGATATGTTGATTACAAAAACTACTAACCCAGCAGTGCAAAAATGCTAAAATAATGTTATTTGAAATTCTGTACGTGACCTTTACACAGGACAATGACAAAGAGTCTTTGATGGCAGACTCTTATAACAACCGTCACACTTGTACAGTCTCACCGGTGGAAGCAGATGGTGTTGCCTGTGGACCTGAAACTGCATTATTGGGTAGACAGCTTGATAAAATGTGAACCAGACATAGAAAATGCATTTCTTATCTTAAAATCAAATGGCTGCCATTGAACCTTAAAGGAGAACTATGGGGTCAGTGTTTTTCCCCATAGTTCTCCTTGGGGTAACGGGAGGACACAAACAAGCGTCCTCCCGTCACCCTAAGCTCAGTATACCGCGAGCTACAGCTCGCGGTATACTGAGACGCGGCACCTGGAGCGGATCCCGACTTAGATGACGGGATCCGCCCAGCTGCGTGAGTGACAGCTGGCTCTGCCTATCTAGAGGCAGAGCCAGCTGTACCCGCCCCCTCTCCCGTCCGTTCCGCCAGTCAGCGCTGGCAGATCGGAGCGGGGAGAGGGGAATCCAGCCCCTCCCCCCTGTCACGGCAGAGAGCTGTGACAGGATCGAGAGGTGAGGGAACCCAGTATGTTTTCCCTCACCTCTACTGAGCCGACCTGTGACAGTCTCATTGTCACAGGTCGACTTAGAACTATGACGTGAGTGGAAATCACTCATGTCATAGTTCTCCTTTAAAGTATGGTCAAATCATAACAAAAAATATATGCAATGTAGCATCTCAAGTTACACAGCTTATTTGTGCACAAATTGCATGTTGATCTTACCAGCCAAATTGGTTTTCCTACCCTTCCTTTAATAGGGTGACAAAGCTGTAAGACCACTATTTAATTACATCATTAAGGACAACATTCTCACCCTTGTTTTTACTGTGCCTGCTAGGACCACAGGGGGATGCAGTTATGTTATAAGGGGCACAGCTATTAGTGTCTCCTCTGATTTACAAATCCCTGGTTTGTTACCAGCTGACCAGGCCTACCACTTCCCAGATGCCATTAAGGAGATGTAGTTTAGGCAGCAGCTTTGAGGAAACTGATATTCTGGTGTTGCATAACCAATCCCACTGTGGCCAATGTCCAGGTAAAGAGGGGCCACGCTAGGCAAGTGACAAGACCCATGAAGTATTACATTTTAAATGGAGGTAAATAATATGTTGTTGTTTTTTTCAAATTATTTGCAGATTTAGTACAAGTTGTTCTTTTAATGGATGAACCCCCCCCCCTTCCTCAACAGAATGTAATACACCTAGTTAGATACTTCCCATTGTCTTTATTCCAGTGATTTTCATTGTGTGGCCCCACAATGGCCCCACTGGTAGCGTTAAGATAATGTCTTCCTGAGTTTTTCTATAATAAACCTCTTTCCGTTTCAGTCTGTAGGTATGATAATTTTCTAAATTAACAAAAAAGAAAAGTCACTTTCTTGCAATATGGCAACCTGGAGGCGATCCCTTTGCAAACAGACAAAGGTGGAAACCTGCAAAAAAAGTTTGCTGAAATGTATATAGTTTACAAAAAGAATACAAAATTAGTTACAACTAGGGATGGGCTGCCTGTTCGAGTCGAACTTACGAACATTGCCTGTTTGAGACGAACTTTGTGGGATGTTTGCGGTCTGTTCAGCTGCGCAACGTCCCACAAGTCAATGCACCCTCTGAAGCTCTAATTGGTTAAAGTTTTGCACCTGATCAAGCGTGGCAAAAACATCAGCAGCTTGGATACCACAAGCTCGAAGAGACATATGACCACCTGCCATGCATCCCGTTGGCAACACCACCATAGAAAGGACAACACTTCTCCTCGCTCCTCATCTGTGATCTCTACCCCCACTATAAGTCATGCCATGTCCACAACCTCCACTGACATGGATGATGTTATAGCAATGGGTGTGCCAGGTCCTTTCTGCCGAATCTGCCAGCAGCCCACCAGCTGGAGATGTTAGAAATAAAATTTTGATGCTCCAGCTGCTGCAGCGGAAAAAAAAATACTGTCCCACCCATCCACATGCTCAGCGTCTAAATGCCAGCTTGGCCAAATTGCTCACTTTACAACTGCTGCTTTTCCATCTGGTGGACTCTGCCCCTTCCGTGAGTTTGCAGAATGTGCTGTACCACAGTGGCAGGTTCCCAGACACCAATTATTTTCACCTAAGGCCATTCCAGCTCTGTACCAGCATTTGGAAGGCAATGTTTTGGCCTCGTTGGACAAGGCAGTCAGCAGCAAGGTCCACATTACCACCGACACGTGGTCCAGCAAGCATGGCCAGGGACATTATATTTCCTTCACGGCACACTGGGTAACTCTGCTAGCAGCTGGGAGGGATCCAGGATGGGGCTCCGTGCTGGAGCTTGTTCAACCACCACGCCTTCAAAAAGCTGCTGATCTGAGGTCTGTCTGCTCCACCCACTCCTCTTCGTCCTCCACGATGGCCTCTGCAGATTTGTCCGGCGAACCAGCAGTTCACTGTAAGCGTTCCAGGGGCTACGCATCGGTTGAAGCAAAAAGATGCCATGCAGTGCTTGAGCTGGTTTGTCTAGGGGACAGGAGCTACACCAGGGCAGAGATTCTGTCAGCTCTGCAGGGGCAGGCCCAGAGATGGTTTAACACAACACCAGCTTGTGCTGGGAATGGTTGTATGTGGCAATGGCAGCAACCTTCTCTCCACCCTACGCCTGGGAAAGTTGACGCATGTACCATGCTTGGCACACGTCCTCAATTTAGTGGTACAGCGTTTCTTAACCAGGTACCCAGGGCTGGCAGAGCTTCTCAGATAGACCAGACGTCTGCAGCCATATCAGGCAATCATACCTGGCAAGTGTTCGTCTGGCCAAAGTTCAAAGGGAATTCCACCTTCCCACAAACCGTCGGATTTGTGACATGCCCACCAGGTGGAACTCAACATTGGCAATGCTGCAGCGTCTGCACACGCAGCAGGGGGCCATAAATGAGTACCTGTATGAGTATGGCACAAGGACAGGTTCAGGGGACCTTGGTTTTTTTTCCCCCCGTCAGTGGCTGCTGATAAAGGATGCATGCACTGTACTGTCACCATTTGAGGAGGCGACGAGGATGGTGAGCAGGGACAGTGCATGCATCAGCGACATGATCCCTCTGGTGTTCCTGCTGGAGCACACTCTGCAGGGAATTATTGATGTGGCAGAGCAGCAGGAGGAAGAGGAGGACTTTTTTTTAGCTCAAGGCCCCCTTTACGCAGACACCATTTCTGCGGGTCGGCAGATCACACAAGAGGAGGAGGAGGATTATGTCAGCCGTGGGGGCATTGAAGTTGAGGATGACATTCTGCAAGGGAGTGTTTTCTGTCACCAGAAACCCACGGAGTAGTACGTGGTTGGGAGGAGGTAGTGCACGATAGTGCCAAGGAGAGGGATCATTACTGGTTGGCAACCCTTCTTGATCCACGTTACAAGCGTAAGGTTGCAGAGCTCATCCTGCCCTCACAGAGGGAGCACAGGATGAAACAACTGGAGGACGCTATGAAGAGAAACTTGTGTAACACCTTTCCAGACACTGGTAGGTTAGCAAGTGATAAAGGGGTGCTTCAGAGGCTTCGGTTGGTCAAAGGAAGAGCGGTGGAGAAGGGGGCCACCTGACTGATTACTTTCACAATTTTTTCAGTCCTCAGCGCCCAGGGATGTTAACTTTAGGCACCCATCGCCAGCGTCTTCGTCATATGGTGCAGGATTACCTAGTGGCAAGAGCAGACCTGGATAGCTTTCCAGCAGACAATTCACTGGCTTAGTGGGTCTTGAGAATGGATCGCTTTTCAGAACTTAGCCAATATGCCATGGAGCTACTGGGCTGCCCTGCATCCAGCGTGACTTCGGAAAGGACGTTCAGTGCTACTGGAGGTTTTATGACAGACAAAAGATTGCGTCTGTCCACAGACTCCGTTGACCGGCTGACATGTATAAAAATGAATCAGTCCTGGATCAGCAGCAGCTATCAATCCCCTGATGCTGATGTCAGCGAATAGATCGGGGATCTCTGGATTCGGAAGACTTCCTAGGCTGCCTAACTTTGTGGGTGATTATTACGCCATCTTAAAGTGATGTTCTCGGTGTCGTGCACCACCAACGACCAAGACGCAATTTTTCCGCACCCGCATGTGACGGGTGCATATCATTTGAATATTTGACCGCAGGGTCCAGTCCTGCACTCTTCCAGAATAACTCTGAAGGGTTACGGTGTGAAGGCACTTGCCGACACTAAAGGCCCAATATTTGGGTTCATTGGCCTGTATGCCGGATGCATATAATTTGAATATTTGACCTCAGGGTCCAATCCTGCACTCTTCCAGATTAACAGCTTTACAGTAGAGACATGCACATAATGTCAGCAGCCTATATCTACAGGCAGTATTCACTGATAACCTGTATTTTTTTATGACATGGTTGAATCACCTAGGTTTCTGACAAGTTTGCTTTAGATCAGTAAGTAAAGGAGATGGGCAAATGTAAAAGTGTACAAAAAGCAGGTATAATGAAATAAAAACCTATAAAGGTTGAACGACTTGTATATCGTGACAGAGTAAAAATGAGAAAACAGTCAAATTTACAGTATTCTGATATAGTATACATGTACTGTCGTCTAGACATGCCCCTGTTCTGGAGGCTGTCCTAGCCTCCAAAAAAAAGACTCACAATAATCACAGAGAAGTATTTGAATTGTGTGCAGGTAGATATAGAGATATAAATGGTGGGCATGTTTGGGCAACAAAGTTGTATTGGTAAGATGTCACCATATAAGATTTTTAGATTGTGATAATGTGTATCAATGTGTTATGACAAATGCAGATCTGTAACAGCCTAACAGTATAACAGCATTGTCTAAAATATCAACACATGTTTACGGTTTACTTTATATTGTATAGTAATGACCTTAAAATGG